GGACGATAGTCCGACAAGTGACGCTCCATAGACTGTGCAAGCCAAATATCAAAAATGCCAGTTTTTGCGTCACGAGTATATATACAGTAAGTATGCTATTTTCTCAGGGCACTATTTGGGCTCCGGCATGTTAGGTACCGTTGGAAAGGTCTTGACTCAAATAGTCGGAAACACCATATTCCCCATGCCTAAAGTGTGGTCTAGGCAAAAATATAGCGGTTGGAAAATTTCGATAAATTTTCAAATCTATACCCATATCTTACGAAGGGGGTACCCAGGGGGCGGTCTGAGGTGTCCAAGAGAAACTCCTCCTCGCCACCTTTCCAACGCCGGTCTAAGTGCCCCGATTGGTCCAAAAACGAAAGTTATGGGCATTGGCAGTTTGATCTTGATTTTCTATGAAAGCATTGATTTGGATGTGCGTACGTTCGTTCGTTCGTTTGTCCGTACCTTCTTCGGTTTCCGATGCGCATATGCCCCAGTTGTAGCTAGTGTAGGGGCACGTTGAAATCCGTCCTCAGATTGACAATTGCATTACAGGAGAGCTGGCTATGGCTTCACTAGCCTGCATGTATACGATTTTTTCAAGTATTTATTTCGCACACTAGATCAACTCAGACGCCCATCGGGCAAAGTCAGCTCGTAATTATTTGAGAAGACCTTCAAAAAGTTCCATACACACATGCCAATGTTTATGTGATATAAAAGAAAAAAGTCGATTTTTATGAAAAATCGACCCCCTTAAATTTCACTCCAAAGGTGATTTCTCAAAAATGAGTCCGACAATGTTTTACCAAAAACTGATCGCTTGTAGCCGGTCACCATACCAACAAAATGGCATATGCCACATATCCGGGATAATTCGTATTTCGAAGTTCTGGGCATAGGCAATTCATCAATGAACGGAATTTGTACGAAGAGTCGCATTCTACGATGAAATTGCTGCCAGAAATACGCATCTACTGGCTGAAAAAAACTCACGAAAGACCATATCCGCTCAATTTTCGACGAGCAATCGATTAAAAGTGGTCACAATGCGATCTGGGGGCATTTCATGGTCGAAAAATAGTTCGGATTGAAGTGAATTTTTCAACTTGCTCTATTTTCACTGAAAATGACATTTTTGTTCGGAAAACACGTGAAATACACCTCTGACGTCGTTTTGGTCTTAGAAAACTGCTATTTTTTCGTGAAAATAATGAGAGTCCACGAACACTTGAATATCCATTTCGTTGTCATTTTGATCATAAATCGGCATTTTGGCATCTGAATGTATGAAATTGAACTTTTGCTCGGGGGATACATAAAAAATTCACTTTTCAGAGCTTTGGTGGTTGGAAATTAATATGTTTCAATGAAGTAATGGGTCTAAAATTACTTCAAAACTCTTTTAATGGATATTTTGAAATTTAATCACATTTTACAATGTCCAATGAGGGGAAAATGGGACTTTTTTTAATGAAAGTGGAAATTTGCTATTTACAAGACTTATGAAATGTGGATGCAAATGTTTTACCCGAAAAATTACAATTTCCCAATGATAAGACCTTAAAATAGACATATTTCTGACAAAAGTGTATTTTTTCCGAGAATAATTGCCTTACAAAAGTAGTGATATCAGATGAAAAACCTCTAGACGAGGTTAAAATGGAGTGACGCTCCTGTGCGTGGATTTACCACTCAAAATGACTGATATCATTTTGAGTGACGCTAGGACGCAGGTTTATCTATGGATACAAAGTTCAAAAGTATTTTTCGCATTCTTTATTGTGAAAATTTACTCACAATAAGGAAAAATATCTTGCGTCACGACTTTTAGACGACAAAACGCTTGATAACTTGATCTAAAATCAAAAGTCGTGACGCAAGATATTTTTCCTTATTGTGAGTAAATTTTCACAATAATGAATGCGAAAAATACTTTTGAACTTTGTATCCAGAGATAAACCAGCGTCCTAGCGTCACTCAAAATGATATCAGTCATTTTGAGTGCTAAATCCACGCACAGGAGCGTCACTCCATTTTAACCTCGTCTAGAGGT